TACCCTACCCAGTAGGGTAACTACCGCTTCTTACTAGTACTTATGTACTTTTTAGTATGGCATAGTACGTCCAATTGAGGTATCTAACTAACAGTACCTCTGCTCGGTAGACTCTAGTCTACCTCCATTCCTACTGTAGTAGTCTCTTGACACTGGTATAGGTAAAGGTTTAGCTAACTGTAATAGTACTTCATGGAGTCTCGTTACAGTCATGAAAGCTTTCTACTGGGATCTGAAATACATGGCAGACTTCAATTGGAAACTTCCCAATGGAGTCTTAGTCAAAAGCACTAGTTCTGGCTGATTTCTACTGATAATAGTCTATCAAGAGCCCTGGTAATACATTTAACATTTGTTTGAGCTGTGTAACTTCTTTAATCCTGGCTGTTAGTATATTTGATTGTTTAACTGCTGATCCGATACGGCCTGAGAATGGTTTACTTCGGAGCACATCACAAATGGGATAATTGATATTGGTATTAACAGTTAGTTTGTGAATTTTGAAGCCATTGAGTCTAGCATATATCTGTAGTATCTGATCACTCACATCATTCTTATTTGACTGTCTGTAGTCCTCCTTGACCATTGTCTTATAGCTGCTCTTGGCTGACTCAGTTGAATACATTTAGATATTTCTGAACTGCTGTATATAGTTTGTAAAATGACTTAATAGGTATATCTTTCCGAAGTTGAAATTGAGATGCTTATTATATATATCTGCCACTACACCCTCAAGCTCATAAAGCTGTTCGTCTACAATGGTCAGTCTTTGAACTACACTGAGCACTGAAAGGTGATGTTGATTGAGTATATTACTATTTGTATTCTGTATTCTCGATATTACCTCATGTACCTTTCAGGCTGTCGACTAATCTTTCCGATACTCCTTAAGGATGTCTTTATAATCATGGAAGACTTTGAGCTACCGCTTAAGGTATGAAACTATCTCATTGGTGTAACTTTTGTATTGCATCATAAGAGTGAAGTTGAAAATTGTTCAAATACAAGTTAGTATCCAGGAAAAGATGTGACACTCGGAGACACTTGGAGGAGGTAGCACAGTCACAAAATATGGTAGGAGAACTCGGACCAGAATTCTCATTTCTTTTCTGGTTAATTGCGAAAACTATATTGTACTCTTTATTGGATAGTGAATATCTGCAGTAAGCTGGCAGACTCTTCTAAACAGTATCAAAAGTCTGCAGTCTTTTGTACTTGTTAGTAGTACTGAGATCTGATACCTAGGAACCACCATATGTAGGGTAACTCCATTCAGAATTGGAACCTCTATTCTCCAACACCCTATTCTGGCCTCCTTACATGCACCAAACTTTATCATACATATCTATCTCAGTTGCATCCTGTGACTATAATGCCACAGATGTTAAAGTTTACAAATAATACTGTATAGGTTACTACTCTCTGTTTGACTGGATCCTGTTCGTAAGATATTTGAGAAGGGACCTTTTGCTAAGTCTAGGAAGTGGAACAGAATGAATTCATTAACTACTCAGAGAGTGTTAGGGGGAGAAAAACTAATAGACTTCAGAGTTGTCTAGGCCAAGTAAGATTTGTTTTTTGTGGACTGAGATTGTCTAGAAAGGATCGAATTGCACACATTTTGTTTATAACTACTAAGAGCCAGAGTAAAGTAGGTAAAGTAGCATAGAATCATGAAGACAATATTATATTGTTAAGGTCTCTTCTCCGTTGCTTGATAATATCTAAAAGCTTGAGAGGTACTTCAATATTTATATTTCGCATCTGAGTGTTCGCAGACTATATCTATCTATTATACAACTATGTACCTTTCTAATTATAACTCATAACATCAGGTATTCTTCAAAGGTGTGAATACCTGGAGATTCTGAAAATCAACACACTCTTTTCAGTAATTACTATATTGCTAACTAGTGGCTATACTATTCCCAATAGTAATTATCTGATCAATAGAGTCTTTAAACTTATGGCCTAGTTCTCAAGTTGAACTAAGTTGATACCAATTGTCTCCCTTATCAATGAAATGATCAGTTTTATCTGCAGATTGTATTTTTAGAGGTAGTTACAATTTCAACCTTCCTAGAATGCCTGACTTTTAACGTCCATAACTCCGGATCCAACCGATAGATATCTTTCAGATAACTTCCCACTAATTCACAGGGAGTCATTCTACCAGATTGGTAGATAATCCCTTGGTCGGCAACTCTTTATTGCTCTGAGTACCAGGATTTCAGTCATTGTTCTAGGATTGTGAATTATTCCCGTAACTACAACACATTCCTGCGCCCAGTTGTAATACTGCGTGAAGTTTATCAGCTTCTGTGGTAGTATTTCTCAGAGTTCTAGTCTCTTCTAGTTATTATAGAGTAGGTGCAAATGTATTGGCCTCTTGTAAAGATCCTTTAGCATTCAATACTATCTCTTTGTACGAAAAAGTTCTGTTACCTACTACTCTTGCCAAAGTTGTCACAATTTTGAAGCCTAGTAACTCTCTGAGTAGTTGACAGATTTACTCTATTCTACTTCCTAGACTTAGCCAAAGGTCTTCTCTCATTTAACCTGCGAACAGGATCTGGTTGCATGGATGACAGCGATATATATGGTATTATCCTTTTACTTTAAATTTTGTAGCCTTATAGTCACAGGATGCAATTGAGATAAGTACATATGATAACATGTGGACCCCGTGAGGGTACCAGATCGGGGTATTAGAGACCAGTGATTCTGATTCCGAATGGAGTTACTCTACTTAGGATGGTTCCTAGATATCAGATCCCGGTATTCCTAATATTAACAATATAAAATTATTTATACTATTCTATTCTACCTTACTCTACTCTTAGTAGTCCTAAGTGAAATGAGTAACTGTTTTACCTTCCTGAATAAATCTCCGTCTACGGAAATAAATTTTAATAGATATAGACAACTCTGAGTCTATACAGGCAGCATCCACCTAACAAAAGACCTAATAGGTGATATATATGAAGCATTGACATACTGTCTACTAGATCTACATTATGCATAGATGTCTAACATATAAGTTGACTACTTTGTAAAATTGGAAGAGACTACTAAAATAATAGTCAATTAAACTGAGGTTTCAGGAAAATGTCTCAGTCTATTCAACTTTATAAATTAAATGGTGCCAGTTGGAAGTTAATAGCATCTTTTTAAATAGTGAAGATTTTATTAAAAGAGTTTAAAAAGGGTGTGAAATATTTCAGTGTCAAACAGTATTCATACTTATTAAGACTGTCAGTGAGAACTATTACATGGAATACTAAATCTCCATACAAATTTTGCCAAGTTTGGCCAACTTGGTGGTAAAATGCTCTTTGTCACTATCTGTTTAAATAAATCCAGGTACAGCTTATTCATATATAAAATTTTTATTATTTTTATTAAATAATAAAATAGTTCTTGTAAATAGAAATTTACTCAAATTTTCTTTTTCTTTCATATAGTATTTTATTATCTAGAAATGAGCTGGTAAATTACCAATGTTTAGATACTTTTTGGTAGGATTTTAGAAAGTGAAACAATACTTTTGAGGTGATTGTATGATAACTGAATCTTGAACGCTCTTGCTACTTTGGAAAAATAGCAAAAACCTCAATATTTGAGATGTGAGTTAGAAACCTGGTGTTATACTATCTTGCTTGACTAGCAATTATATAGACAAAACCTCTGAATCAGGATCATAAAGGGGAAATTTTACTTTCCAAAGAGGAGGAGCAAGAGGTAGCAGAGCGGGTAAAGCATTTGAATAATATGGAAGCGTGTGTTACCAAGACTTATACACCTGTATGGAATGGTAACATTGGGCACATGGATATCAGGAACCCCCCCCCCACCCTGGAATGTAAAATAGCGCACCATCTGGAGTATCAAATGAAGTTTTGTCTCGCCACTAGAATTATCATAGCAAATTTGACAGCCTCATGGCATGTTGACACTATATAGTAAGTTATTGGCTTCCCTGTCCGCCTCCTCATTAGTTTCTGGTCCAGTGGTCGGTAATTCCTTCGTGGCCGGTCTTCACGTAAAAAAAAAAGAGAAGCTTCTTTCTTGATTGTCGGGGAACCTACGATACCAGAATCGCTCCAAGAGAATTCCCCCACCAATCATGGGGGCGTAGAGTTTTTGAAATCATTACACGCTCGCGAGTGATATATGATGACCACCTCTAGATGTTCGCCCCCCTTTTTTTGAGACAGAGAACACGGTGGCTTGCCAACATGCCGCAAGGCAACTATGAATGATACCCAAAATTTTGGGGTCGTCGATTTAGTTCTCTATGAGTATTGAAGTCTACAACTTCCTTACAAATGTAAGTGAACTCCAACGAAATTGCCTACTTAGGTACTGCTTATATACCTATCTTCCTTTGGAGATCCGTAATTCATGACCCATTCAAAATCTTCCGCTCGCGGCCAAAGTTACTTCTATTCCCGATATAAACATTTCTCTGAGCCTGAGAGTAACTTATTGTTAGTAAGCATTGATCACTATCTATACGTGCTTTGCCTGGAGATATATATGCTCCCCGTGCATGCAGGAGAATCTGAAATTCTGTCATTTTTGAAGGGGTTTGGAGCTATGACTTTCCTAGCTTATCTTATGATAGAAGATGTATCTGTTGAAAGACATGAAGATAGCTAGGACTTACTGGAATTGTTCAAGCTTGAAGACATACAAAGCTCTTCACCCGTCCCCTCAAAGATTAGTCGCGTGTACGGATCTTGTGAAGAGTGTATCGAGAGCTTCCCGAGCACCACGTCTGGCGCAACTGTGGGTGAAGGGTCTATTTTTCTACTGTACCAGCTGCATGGTATATGAATCCTGCTCCAATCCTGTTCCTCCCGTCTCTACTGTGGACTGAACAATTATGCAACTGATACTATAAAAGGCTCCCAACACCAATGAAGCCAAAACACATCCATGCAACTTATCATACACTGCTAATATTCTAACGCCAAAGTATCGTACATACACCAAATTTACCTCATACTCCCTTCTATCCTCTCCAACAACTCCTCTAGTCCCAATGGCTCCCATAGCTCCCTATTCTTTTTATCCTGTGCCCACACCACGTCCCCTTGAAAGTACACCACCGAGCCTCCGCTCCCGCTGGCGCTTGCTGTCATTCTGAACATAGGTCTGCCGCTTGCTTCATGGGCTTTACGTAAGGGGATAAGGAGAAGATTGTGATCAGCGCACCAGTCCTCCACCGCGTCTCTAAAGGTCGCTCCGACCGGTACAGGGGTGTTGTTCGCTTTGACAGGTACAGACTTTGGTGCAATGGCCTCCGGTTTTGTCGGTCGTAGGGGTTCCACAGGAGGGGGCGCAAGTTTGATGGGGGCATCTTGGCCCAAGTCCAAAGCGTTGTTCATCATATCGAGACCCTTCTTGAAGCCACTTCTGATCGCGGGAGCGCTTCTCAGTCCCTCCGGGAAGACATCCTGCCAGAACATATACCACTCCTGAATTTCCGTGAAAATGGGCTCGGCAGTCAGCCACTGGTATAATACATTCAGCCACTTGGGGAAAAATTCGGCTTCGACGAGTTGGGCGAAAGTGGAGATTCTGAAGAAAGGAATCCACTTGAAAACGTCCTCCAAGGGTTCGAGGACCTGGTCTCCGGGATTGACGTCGAAATCGTCTCTCAATCTTAACGCAAGTCGGGGTAGTAGGTGGCGGATTAGCAAATCCTCGAGCTGACTAGGACCGAAGACTTCTTTCCATGCTTCTAAACCTTCGACTGTCCCCCTGGAAACATCCCAAGTATCCAGAACGATCCCGAATCCCCTCCTGACCTCACGGAGGAGATCATCCATATGAGGACCCAAATGTGGCAGCCACTGAAAGACCCATAGATGGGGAGGCTGGCGAGCCTTATTCCCTTTGCTCACGCGGGGGTTCCAATCGGCAACTGCCGCACGGAGTTTGGGTAACACCAGTTGGTCGAGGATGTTGGCATGAATAAAAGATGGAAGAAGAGAAGTCCAAACATCCAATACTTTTAGTACTGGTGCAGGTTTATGTACATTCCAATCGTTGTTGATAGCTGATCGCACTTTCGGAAGCCAGAGAGAAAACATCATACTCTCATAATGAGTTGTAGACTTGCTTCGCTCTACGAAACCTTTTTTAGCGTACTCTGCTTCGACGTCTTCCTTTGATCGTATATGGAGTATACGACGAAGCCTGCGGAAGCTCTCAAATAACAGGAACGGATCTTTAAGAGGGGACCACCTGGAAAGCTCCCGTTTGAAAAGTGGGTGCAGTGCCGCGACTGCTACTCCGGTCAAGTCGTGGTCTTCTATCTCGTTCTGGTACTCAAGTTGCAGTACCTCTAGCTGCGTTACGATTGCTTCGATAGAAGCCTTTGGGTCTTCGATATTCAAAGTGAGGCTCTGAAGACTCTTCGCCATATCCACCATGTCCTTTAATCTTCCGATCTGCTTTGTTTCCTCATCCATCTCCAAATTCAACCTTCTCTCCTCTTTATTAATATAGGTCTTCCGGTCTTGCAGGCTCGCCCATTCCCCTGCAAAACTCTCGAGATCCTTTCGAGCCATTCTAGCAATCTTAAACGATTCGTCTTCAACAGAAGGATCTTTAGACATGACCCCAGAGCTAGATGTCAACAATTTCCTCTCTTTCCCAGTAAAGTCGATTATATTTTTTAGAACTGACGGCACGTCCAACCCTTTTGCAGCAGCCGATATCTCCTCTACAGTTCTGAACTTTGTTCTCTCCTTTCTAGCCCTGAGAGGAGTTCCACCAGGCGTACTGCCCATTGAACCGCTTCCTGCCTTTCTCTTTGCCTTTTTTTTCCTTTCCTCATCTTCGCTATCAGAAATGACCTCTCCTCTCAACGCAGCAGCTCGCTTGGCCTCCTTTCTTGCTTGATCGGTCTTTTCCCTAATTGCCCCCACACCTACACCTTGTGGTCGAAGCTTAACCTCTATAGGAGCCAATATACCCTCCCCCTTCTTCCCAAGACCCTGACCTTCAACATAACCCATCTTTGCCATCATCCTCGCGGCGAAACTTTCAGGGTTGGCTTTCGGCTGCGAGGTGTCGTTTGCACGACCTCCTCCCTTTCCCCGTGAAGGTTCAGAGGTAAAGAAGGAGGGTCGAGGGACTATGTTCTCAGATTGCGATACTGGAAATTCGGGATCTAACGAAGGCATTCCCACAGAGGCAGCAGTGAAAGATGAAACGAACCCTCGTCCCAGCGGCGTTGAGTACTGCTGCCCTGTCGGCGATTCGGGTGGCGGCGACTCAGTAGGACCCATTCGTGATATTGCCGAAGCTTTGAACCCCAATCCTACATGCGCATCCAACGACCGTGGGGTAGATGTTCCGGAATTGTTCTGAGACCCTGCTCCCAAGCCTGCGCGAGTGAACTTTCTGGAGCTTAAGGGCTTCCTTCCTAGACCAAGGCGAGGCCCTGTATCTGACTCCTCCTCATCGCCTTTACTACTCCAGCTACCAAGCCCAGCAAACCCAGCAGTAGCATCCGAAACTGATCCCAGGCCACCAACCGTCCTATCGTCGCCTTCAATTTCCTCTTCCACCTTTTGCGCCATCCTGACAGCTCCGGTGTATTCGTCCTCATCGTCCTCGTCGCCCTCGCTGTCCTCATCATCCTCTCCACCAACAATCTCGCTAGACTTAACGAACCCCATCCCCTTATTCCTCAACCCTTTACTACTCCATCCCTTACCGCCTCGTGCACCTTCATCTTCGCCATCACTCCCAAAAATGCCTAAGGCAGCCCTCTCTTTTGTGTCCCCGCCAGCCCATCGTCGCTTTCGTTGATGCCCGGAAGAAAAGCGTTCGTGGTCATCGGTCGGATCTGGAAATTCGATTTCGTCTTCGCTCGAGTCGGAATCTGAGGAGCACTCCCATTTCTCCACTTTCCTTTTACCCATAACGACAATCTTTGCTCGTGATTGCAAACCAGGATGAAGAGGGGTGCCCCGCAAGTTTATTGATCGTGATGGATGGCAATCCAGGGGTTAAGTTATCTCAAGGAAATGTGAGGGGGATGTGTGGTCTGCGGTATCGGTGTCATGGATGACTCATCAAAAAAGTTAAATGCCCCAATCGAGAGACCCAACCCATAAGCAGACAATTTAGCCCCACACAGACACCACCTACTTTTCTGGAAAAAAAACCCTTTCATCTTTCATCTCTCGCCCAAAGCTCAAACAATCCTCAACCCCGACCATTCGCTCGTCCCCAATCAACAAAACCCATCAATTGATTGGCCTCCTCCCGGTCAATTCGCCTCGGACCTGGAATTTTATTACGAAAACAACAAAAGCACTTGCGCTATAATGGGCTTCACCCCCCGTGGAAGAGGCGGGGCAAGAGGAGGAGCTACTCCTAGAGGCGGCTCCCGTGGCAGCTCCCGTGGCGGTTCTCGTGGTGGATTTGGTTAGTCTTCAATTCCTCTGTTCTGATATTCCTGTCGTAATCCTGCAATATTCTCCTCACAGTTTTCATGTTTTCCTTGTTTCCTCCAACAGTTTGTGCACACTAGTGACGAGAGTATCACCCGCCCTTCCTTTTGCGAAGAGGAGAGCCCTCCTAGGAAAACTCCTCTCACAAGATTCAAACCAGACCCCACGACATAGTATTAGGGGAAATTTTGACTGACATACTCAATTGCCTCAGGCGGCGGTGTGCGCGGTACACCTCGCGGTGGTGGACGTGGTGGTGCACGCGGCGGCGGTCGCGGCCGCGGCACACCCAGAGGAGGCCGTGGAGGAGGACGAGGAGGCGCCGGGGGTGCTAAGGGTGGTGCTAGAGTTGTTGTTGAGCCTCATCGTCATGCCGGTGTTTTTGTCGCCCGTTCGAAGGAAGATATGCTGGTCACCAAGAATCTCTCGCCTGGAGAGTCAGTCTACGGAGAGAAGCGTATTTCAGTCGATACGCCCTCTACTGAAGCCGACGGCGCCTCCACCAAGACTGAATACAGAGTCTGGAACCCTTTCCGTTCAAAGTTGGCCGCAGGTATTTTGGGTGGTCTCGATGATATCTTCATTCAACCCGGTGCTAAAGTTCTTTACCTTGGCGCTGCCTCTGGTACTTCTGTTTCCCATGTTGCTGATATTGTTGGCCCTACTGGCAATGTCTATGCTGTCGAGTTCTCCCACCGCTCCGGGCGTGACTTAATCAATATGGCTAAGAAGCGCACCAACGTTATTCCCATCATCGAGGACGCTCGTCATCCTTTGAAGTATCGCATGCTCGTGGGCATGGTTGATGTTGTCTTTGCGGATGTAGCACAGCCTGATCAAGCGAGAATCGTTGGGCTTAATTGCCATCTTTTCTTGAAGGAGAAGGGGGGTGTCTTGGTTTCTGTCAAAGCAAACTGCATCGATTCAACAGCAGCCGCAGAGGCTGTGTTTGCTAGGGAGGTTCAGAAGATGAGAGAAGAGAGGATTAAGCCTTTGGAACAACTGACATTGGGTAAGTTGTTTTCCTAAAATTATTTCGATGAGCGGGAGCACTAACAGACGTTTCTAGAACCATTTGAGAGGGACCACTGTATGGTTGTTGGTCGTTACTTACGTTCCCAATCTTAAATATCTTGTACAGTAAGGTGGCATGAAGTTCACATCTTTGTCTGATCTTAGACATGGATAGAGCAGTTAGATAGATGGAATGCAAGAGGCAAGAAAGCCGAAAAAACTAGCCCAGTGGAAATGTATGGCGGAGAAGCCATAGCGGTTGTATTGTATATGCCCTCCAGGGTTCAATTTCCTTTTCTTTGCGCCTTGTCTATTTCTCGATATTTCCTTTCTCTCTTGTCTTTTAGGTAGTTCCTTCGAAAAAAAGGGGTTCTCGTCCTTGTTTCTACTGTACTTGATAACTCGGCATGAAAAATCAATACGGCGTCAAGGCATTCTAGATTAATAGTGACGATTGATGCATTGCAGTCGAGTCAGTCACGCTACTTTTGGGCTGGCCCTGGGTAATTTTATAGGTGTGATATCCAGAATTTTGCGCCAAGACAGGCACTAATCAACACCAGTACGAAGGTGTCCAGACACTGGCACTTTATAAGTGGTCAAGTGCAAGGTCTATCCTTTGGGCGGTCTGAAACAGTAAAATTCGTAGCCAGGCACACAGCACCTATTATGAAAAATACCATACCTAAAAAGGATAAGTGCAAGTAGGACACAACTATGTCAACTATTGCAAAGTAATTTTGAATACAATACAGGTTAACCAGCAAGGACCACCAGCGATGTCAGAGCTAAGACCAGTACAAGAACTGCTTTCTGCCCTTTCGACCAATTGCCCAGTAGGAAGAGAGAGCTGGGTACAAAAAACCTGGATACAAAAGAAGCCCAAATTACCGCAACAAGAATTCCAAATCCAACGTAATCAGTGGCCCTTTGTGCTCCTCTGCCCATGGAACAATCATCTCAGTCAGCCTTTGTTGCCTTGAGAGGACAGCAGTACTAATGCCCTAAGGATATTTGAGTTCTTTTGGGATGATAGTATGATGGATTTGCTGGTAGTGGGGACAAATCAGTATGAGAGAGAGAAAGGAGCAGGGAAAGGGTCAGGGATTAGGGCCGGCCTACTCCTAAAGTCTGGCCAGGAAAGGAGAAAAGTAAGGGCACGGGAGATGAGAGTCTTATTGGGTCTTCTAATTCATATAGAAGTAAAAAGAGGGGTGGCCTTGGTCCAAAGACATTTTGGGATATGAAAGAGAATATGCAATCAACTTTTCAAATGATGGATTTCAAGCACTTCTGCTAAATTAAACAATACCTCCATATCTCCGACCCAAAATTACAACTCTCATATTCAGAGTAGTTTGAGAAGCTAGAACCATTAAACTCTATAATCCAGTCTCAGTGTCAGTAGTACTACCTTCCTGCATCAAATATCACTGTAGATGAAATGATTATTAGGTTTGGAGAGTAAAGTTTTCATACATACTGAATTCCCAGCAAGCCAATTACTGAAGGGCACAAAGTATTTGCACTCTGTGACGTCAGCAATAGCTATAATTGGATATTTGCTTCTCAGGCAAACTCATGTGCTGTCTTGATTCTGCAGGAAGATTTCACTCCTACTGGCTCAACTGTGTTTCAATTAGCCTCCTCTCTTTCATATAGTTCTAGGCTTCACTTCAACATCTATATGGACAATGATTTCTACACACTCTCTCCCCTTACCAAGCTACGGCATCTAGGTATTGGTGGATGTGGGACAGTATGAGTAAATGCTAGAGCATTTCCCATTCATCTCCATGATGAAAAGAAGGGCATTCTCTGGAATGAGGTTTCTGGGAGGCTTGTTGGCCAAGAGGGCAAGGTTTTAGGGATTTAGTGGTAGGATAATAGTACAATGCATTTTTTGACAACTATTCACACTCTTGATAAGGGGATAATTGTTGAGTGTAAAAAAGCCCGGATCCCCCGCAGTAATGGCCCTGCTATTTGCTGGGTGTTTGACCTAGCTGAGCACTCAAATGTTGCTATTCCAGTCATTACTAATAGCTATAATAGGTATAAGATTGGAGTAGATGTTGCCGATCAGTACTGGAGTTATTATTTTACTCAATTGAAGCATCTCTGCAACTAGCCTCTCATATTCTATTGGCTTCTTGACACTACAGTTATTAATTCTTTCCTAATCGCACGCTGCCTCTCACTACCTATTCAGTATAATGATATCTCACGATCATTTCGTCTTCTTCTAGCTCAACTAATACTTGACAAGTATGAACAGAAGGGCTATACTGCCTAAAAGGCTTATTATACAAGAAAAACTATAACCTCCCAGCATAGTCGACTCCAGAACCATACCTTACTTCTAGCCTCCAAGGAAGCACCAACTGAGTACCAGTTTACATAGCAAAAGTCCTCCAATATTGCCTGTACGTAATGCTAGTTTATACTATGGGGAATGAATCAAAAAGGAACTCACGCAACCTCTACTTGCTTTGGCTGCAACAGACCCAGCTGTGGCTTCTCCCTTTGCTCCCCTTACTTTGACAATAGGCATAAAAATCTCATAAGATCAAACTCATAGATAGCAGAGGTAGATGTTCAAATGACTGTCTTATACGTTCAATTCAACTTCAATTCCCCTTTACCATCTTAGCATGAGGACTACCAAAAACGTTGCAATGACCGGCAGGGCTCTCTTTTTACCTGCCTGATCCCAGACTCAAGTATGCAGCCAGGAAATATACAGTTATGTGGTAGCTGGCCCCACAGTTGTCAGCTGGATGGAGCGATATTTCTCCAGATCTTATTTTCATATTAGCTACAATGAGGGAAGCCAACTGGTTTACCATTCTCTTCTCTGAGTGTTTGTATTATGGTAGCCCTCTGTACCACATATCTCAAGTGTCCCATATACATTTCTACTGCTCAATGGTTTCCAGTGTTTGTTTTTTCATCTAGTTACTATCCTTTTTCTTCTCTTCCTACTTTTTCTTAATACACTCGCAGCTTTCTGATAAAGTATTAGTAATAGTTCATCAGACTTTTTTTTCATAGTATTTATTGGTTACTGTAATTTAATATCATGAGCATGTTATATAAGTGCGAAGCATCCTGTTTGGGATTTTTTTTCAGATTGGTGTGCTTAGCTACGAATTTTACTGTCTCAGACTGCCCAACGGATAGGTCCCTAATCTTGTATGATACCATACTGGTATTGTGCTTGTACGAAGAATATACTGCATTTTTTAAATAAACCCGAAATCGCTCTTGGCCCTAAATGAGGTTGTTAGTAGAGTTGCCACACCTTAGACTCCAGGTATCCAGGGACCATGAACACAGAAAACTACCTTAACTTAACGTCAGGAGTGCTGTATTGAAGAATTGAGAACTGTTTTTCTCATATGTAGCTATTGTATGAACAGTATAGGAGGGGGTATGCTGAATGATATACTGAAGATGTAATACTAGCAGTAAATTTGAGGGATATTAAGAGAAAACACACATTCTCTCTATAGTTCATATCATGCTTGGACACAATATTGGGTATACTACTGCAACTCAGAATTAGGATATCAACCAACTGCTTAATCTGAGAAACAATAGATACTCACCAACAAATTTGCCTATTGAAAATGAAGAAACCAAGCCTCTAAATAAGCGAAAGGTTAGTTAGTACTCGAGAATTAATTAATGAGTGGTTTTTTAAATATACTCATGATTTGAAATTTGTCTAACAGATCCGGCCTGGATGTCACCCAAAACCAATTTCAAACCGAAAAAGTCCTCAGTATGGCAAACCAAAAAGTTGGCTCCAGTGATCATATATCCATGAGTATAAGATTAAAGTTCTCTATTGATGGACCCATGAGTGGATACCAGTTAGTAGCACTGAACAGCAGGGAGAAGCTCAGGCTAGTCCATTTAGACTGTGACTACTATTTATTCAAGAGGTTTCAGACTGCTTCATGGTACCCATTACGACATTACATGATTGGCGTAAAAATCATAAAAAAATTGTGAATTCAAAGAAAGGAGAACTGTCAAGAACGTGGCTTAGCATAAAAGAGGCTTTCATGTGACACATGGTTATGAGTCACAGGTATGTTATTGTTTTACACATATGACTCATTCGGGTCATATGATTTGTTATGTGTGGGATTTGTGATGCTTTTGCACATGGCTCAAATATGAGTCATTGGACATGCGCCTTATAATTTGTTATGTGTGGGATTTGTGATGCTTTCGCACATGGCTCAAATATGAGTCATAGGAAGTGTGCCTGGCGAGTATGCCTTGCGATTGTACCTTGCGGGTAAGCCTTATGCATATGATTTATGTTTCACACATGACCTTGTTATGAGGTCATGGGTTTCACGCATGTGATCACTTTGGTCACATGACTAGTTTGTTATGATTTGGTTTCACACATGTCATCACTTTAGGTCACATGACTATAGGTGGGAAGAATACTATATAAGGAGGCCGATGTGGCCAAGGAAGATAGGTTCTTCACGCTTTGTTCTAAGTACTTTTCCTTGTCCTTGCAGTCGCTTTGCCCCGAGCATTTCTTTCGCACTCACGATGGGCCTTGATACCTTTGATTCTGGGTGCAATATCTGAGTTTGCTCAGTAGTTCCTGGGGTCTTTGGAGTTGAGGTTTGTTAGGTGTTGCGTGGCGGATTACTTGTTTGCTTCTTGTTTCGTCGCTTGATGGCTTCTCACAATGCTGTCACTTTGAGCACTTCATCACGGTCGCTTATGAGCCTCTTTCAGTAAAATGTTTACGGCTTCCTGTCTATCATCTACTCGCAGGTTTCGTGTTCGATTGGGGGGATTGAACATTGTATTTGAGGGGATCACCCGTGTCGTTCTTTGGGCCAGCTCATGTCTTTTGTTGGGTTTTAACAGAGTTCTTAGTTCTCGCGATACAAAATGTCCTTGGGTTAGACTGATGACCTTCCCAAGTATCAATGCGTCATACCGGCTGCATCAATCCACTGGGGAGGGGGCCTCGCTGGCCCCTCCCCTACTCGTTACTATATGTTTCTACGGTCGGAATCCTACGATGTTGTTTATCACCGTTCCCTTGGAGTTTTTGTCCTTGCGGCATATAAGGTGGTTTAGCCAGGTGTCTCCTCCTCGCTACGGTAGGGATGGCTTTGACCTTGAAAAATCTTGCCCCTGGTGTGGGTTTTCATGGCTACCTAGGGTGGTGTGGGACGATTGGCTGCCAGACACTCGCGTTGTCTGTATGTTTGGGTAGTTCAGTTGTTGTCTGTGGTTGGCAGCTTCATCCATTGCAAGTGGGGCCTACCTTCTGTTTGTCTGCTTCTTTTCGTTCGCCCTCTCCCTTCTTGTCGTGTCAGTTGGAGATGCCTCTTGCCCGTTGTTCAGTCCGTGCCTGTTGCCGGACCTATGG